AAGATTTGGAGAGTGGGAGAAAATATTTGAGAGGAAATGGTGTGTATGGCCGGATTTTTTATGTGGGAAAAAGGAGAGGAGAAAAAAAATGAGGCTTATCCTATGATGGTTCCTTTTATAGGCAACTTGGAAATAATTTTTTTAACATCACATCAACTCCTTCAATCAACCAAATTTTGGTTCAATTCTCCCCTTTCTTGGCCGGTTATGGAAGGAGAAAATGAGAAGCAAAATTGTCATTAATTCCCCTTCAACCACTACCATCACATCACACCATAACTTGTAACCTTTTATCACACTCAACTAGCCAAATTTTGGCTCTATTTCTACTATACATGGCCGGCCAAGTGGAGAATGAGAGAGAGAAAAATAAATCCTACCCCTTGTACTTTAGTCCACTCTCTTAAGTTACCTTTGAATCAGGTAAAAATCATACTGACTGTAAAGGGTACTTAGCTGACAGGAAATTCTTGTTTATGACAGTTCTTTTTTTTTTCTACTACTTATTTACAGTTCAACTTTTAAATCCTCGTCTGCTTTGATATCACGTTAAATTCTTACTCGCGTAATATCTTAAACTGTTTCAAGTCTTGAAATTAATTCTAGACTGAATAAATTCTAAATTTAACTTTTCTGCATTATATCCCGGGAATGACATTATTTCTGACGGTGTCAACTCCTTAGCTCACATTGTACCCTTCTACTATAGGTATCTATCTTGTGACTTTAACCTAGCTGTCTGGCAATTAAGGATTTTCTCTTCTTTAAAAATGTCAGTGCATTTTTTTTACGCTGCTAACATCATGCTGTGTTTGGAGATTCTTGAAATTAAGATTCTTAAACTATACTTGTACTAAAAATTATTCCGCCTTAAAGTATGACAAGAATTTATCGATCGAATTTACTTGATCGAAAACATGAACTTAACATGAAATCTGCTACAGAATTTAGGAATACATATATTGATTCCATAAATCCTTCAGTCACATAATAATTTCTAGAAAAATCCTTGGCTTAAATAAATAAATTGTATTATTTAAAGTCTGAAATTTTCTCAGTCATTACAATAGTAGTAATCCTCACTTGTAGATGAGAGCAGGACCTTCCTTTTCCGAAAACAAGCAACAACTACGCGAGCTAAATCCAAGAATGGACTACCTTGAGGCTTGTCATAACGATAGAAACAGTTTCCAGACAAGAAAATGGCCAAACCAATCAAACTAACGAGTACACATCCCAAAACCCAATGCCCAACTAACATTGTCCTCAACATACACGACTGTTGAGCCTATCACCGCACACACATAATTAATGAAGAAGAACCAGTTGAACAAAATCCTGCAGTCTTCGGGTCTGTCGAGCTGATTAGCACCCATTGTAGCAATGACGGAGCAAGTACCTGCTCCAACTGATAACAGAGCCAAGCCAGAGTAGAGCACCACAAACTGAACTCTTGATGGTGATTTGCACAATCCCAGACCCAGTGACCCTTTCTCACATCGAGGTGGCCTTAAGCAATCGAGCATCGCAGTCAAGGCAAAAAGAATCACTCCCTGCAAACAGGAATATCAAGTGGAGGTGGAAAATTTTCTTGTCTATCTTTATAAAAACAGAATGAAAAAGTACAATATAGCTAGTTACGAGCAAGTTGATACAAGAAGAGATGAAGATAACAAAGAAGCAGCCAAAGAAAGAGTCTGCAACGATTGCCACGACGATAGAGAACAGGTTGGTGCAACCATTGACAACATTAGAAATCTGAGCAGCATCAACACTGTTCACATTAAATTCTTCTATAAGATACACTATCAAGTTTGATAGCCATCCCCAAGCAGCAAGTGTTAAGCCCATCACAGTTCCTGGCTTGTTACATAACAGAAACACTTGTATTACTATATGTATACTAATATACATCATGTCACATATATTTGTATAAAGTGACTTAGAGATCGAAGACAGACCCGCGATGAGAAAAAAGTGATCCAACCGCCGTGTATATTACCGCCAGAACTTGACGTTTGAACTTGGTCATCATGATTAGAACTTGATTTTTGGAGCTCAGTTGTTGCCATTTTGATTCAAAACAGTTTTGATTAGGTCCCTTTTTACGTATAATGCATGTTAAATTGCAGTTGGTGTATTATAGAGTACTGGTCTAAGATCAAATAATCATTCCTCGAGTCAACTTTAGAATCATATTCTTGATCTTGAGATGCTTTGATTCTATATGTAGAAAGTTATATAACGAGCCACTAATGGTTTTAATTTGGTCAGTATTATAGCAAGGCGTTAATTCAACTTTAGTCAATGTCCCGCTTCCAAAGAAGCGATTCCTTTCCATTTGTTTATTCTAGATAAATGAGAAGCACACGTTTAGATTTGTGAATTCCACTAGCTCTAAGATTCTATTGCATCTATTACCCAATTAAACTTTATTTTTTTTTAATAAATTGTGGAGAATACAACTGACTTTGATTTTTTCCTTTCCTCTTTTCCACTTCAAATATCTAAAGAAACCACTAAGTAGCAGGTGGCAATACTGTTAACCGCTGTTACTTGCAAAGTTTTTTTTTTTTTTTTTTTTTCCTTCCTTGTTTCTGAAAAACTTGAGAACGTGTCTTAAGAGTCATATAACAGTTTGTTTTTTTTTTTTTTTTTTTTTTTTTTTGGGGGATTTTCTGCCGTAGGCCCTCTTTATTTTACACTACTGGTAGTCCATGTAAAAAATGAGTTTGACTCCACCATAATTGGTTTTAATATGAGGTTTTATTTTATTACTGTGCGCATACATACATTATATTAAAAGTTCAGTGCTCTGAAAAAACTATCCCGCGAAAGAGAAATTGCCTCTACATTGCTAACCGAAACCAGCTATTGAAACAGCCACAAAGGAAACATGGCAAATCAATGAAGTCAGTGAATACTATAGGAAGAAATAAATAATGTCTAAATAGGAGTTCCACTTTTGTTTTTCTGTCTTTTTTGTGAAATTTCTAACAAGACCAAGAACGAGTGATCAAGTTTAATTGATGGGAAGAAAACTGCTGTAACTATACAAATTTTAGAACAACAGATCAAATTGTAACTAACTGACATGATCACCACCTAAAAAGTTTCCCAAACATACAATTCCTGGCATTGCAACAGCTTGCTATTTATCAGCATTACATATCAGACCCAGAGTTGCTAACATATCTTTCCTTATCAGCATTGCTTTGATACTTGAAGAAAGTGGAACACATTAGAAAATAGCCAAAGTTGAGAATGCCCACCACAACTAACAACCAGTACACATTATCAAGTCTCCCTTTATTTATATCATCCGGTAACCATTCAGTAACCCTCCTAATCAGATCGATCAGAGCCGAGCTGAAGTAGAATGCAATGGCATATACCATTGCTGCCATGGAAGTTGCTGTGTTTCTAAGTGACATGGGAAATTCTTGGTAGTAGAGACCAACTTGGCTGGGCATATGAAATGCTTCTCCAATTCCAACCAAAACCAGCTGTGGAAACAGCCATAAGGCCAACATGGGAACAAAATTAGGACCATGGTTATGTGCCACTTTGAGGCGTTTTGACTCCACAAGTGCTGAGACCGCCATGGAAAGCACAACCATCGTGTGGCCTACTCCAATTCGTTGGAGAGGAGTTGGAGATCGACTAGTCAGCTTCCGCCACATGGGAAAAAGGAAACGATCAACTAGTACAACGGATATAGAACTTGATATAAAGACTAGTACTTGGAAAGACCCTGCTGGGATTTTGAAGTGTGAACCGAGGTGGCGATCCATGGTTAGAGCTTGGAGGACTGTTAAGCTGGCTTGGATTGCTTTTGGAGTGCTCACAAATAAATTTGATGACCACAGTGGGAGAATTCTTATGAGAGCTTTTAGATCTTCTACTTGTTGAACTGTGCACAACCGCCATGGTTTTGCAACTGAGCCATCTGGTTTTAAGTCTCCTTCAGTTTTCAATGCTGCTCGACTCAGAATCCTGCACACAAATGCTATTCTTTTCTGAATAATTAAGCAAGGAATGTATATTGTGTAATGTACTTGAATATTTTCTCGATTTATTTTTTTGATCGGGACAAAAAAGACGCCTTCCTGAAGGTTGTGTCACTGTGATATGTTTGTAAGGTTTGATACTAGTAAATTGTCATGTCATTCAAGTTTAAGTGTAGAGAACCTTCTTTAAGCGTTGCTCTAGTTATACTTATGTTGGGGGGCGCCAATTTGATGGTCATCTGGGAGGTTAGATAAAAACACAAAGAGGCTAAGAAGTGATGTGCGTGATTCTCTTGTACTATTCTTCTTTATTATGGTAAAATTTCGCCTGCCTAGACGCATCTTTTATATTGCAGTTGAACAGAATAAATCTTGCGTATGCTTGTTTGTTTATTTTCTGAGTTTCTTACTGTCGCCATGTAAGAATTAGACTATCTAATGCTCTACACAAAATTGGAAAAAATTGGAGAATTTACCCTTGAGAGTGCATTAGTCTAGACCTTTACCCTTTACTCTTAATAAATACCCTTTTGTTAGTGTAATTATTTGACTAAAAAGGTTGTTGATCAAGAGTAAAGAGTAAAAATCCTGACTCATGCACTTTCAAAGGGTATTTGTCAAGATTACCCTCTACAATTTATTGTCCTCATTCAGAACAAACATGTAAAAGACACTGCTCGCAACATATATAAGTTGTTTTTAATTTTTTTTCTGGTTTTGGTAAGTTATTGACTTGATGTTAGTACCTGAAATTCTTTGCAGGAGTTGCATCAACTGTATTTGCCTTTCCATCAAACCCATAATAGTAATCTTCACTTCTGGATGAGAGCGGGAGCTTCCTTTTACGAAAACAAGCGACAATTACGCGGGCTAAATCCAAGAACGGTCTACCTGGAGGCTTATCATAACAATAGAAAGGCCTTCCGGACAAGAAAATGGCCAAACCAATTAAACTAGCAAGAACACATATCCCAAAACCCAATGCCCAACTAACATTGTCTTCAATGTACACAATGGCTGTTGAGCCTATCGCTGCACACATGTAATTTGTAAAGAAGTACAAGTTGAAGAAAATCGCTCGATCTTCTGGCCTATTAAGCTGGTTTGCACCCATTGTAGTAATGACAGAACGAGGACCTCCTGCTCCAACTGATAACAGAGCCAAGCCAGAATAGAGCACTCCAAACTGTACTCTTGATGGTGGTTTACACAAGTCCAACGACCCTCTTTCGCACGGCGGTGGCCTCAAGGAATCGAGCATTGCGGTTAAAGCAAAAAGAATAGAGCCCTGCAACGAGGAATACCAAATGGGGTGGTAAAACATGTTGTTTGTCATTAAAAATTTGTAGAAAAAAGGAACGAAAGGGTACTAGATAGCTAATTACCAGCAAGTTGATACAATAAGAAAAAAAGATAACAGAGAAGCAGCCAAAGAATGAATCTGCAATGATTGCTGCGACTACCGTGGACAGACTGATACAACCACTGACCACATTTGAAATCTGAGCAGCATCAACACTCTTCACATTGAACTCTTCTATAAGATAAACCATCAAGTTTGATATCCATCCCCAAGCAGCAAGTGTCAAGCCCATCACAGTTCCTGTCGTGTTACATAACAGAAACAATTGTATTACGTTATAAAAAAAAAAAAAAAATCTATATATATATATATATATATATATTCATCATGTCACATATGCTTGTATATACATAGTCATGATAGTATGGACGAGGTCGAGGGCAGACCAGTGACGAAGAGAAAAGTGATCCAACCGCCATGTTTAATACGACCAGAACTTGACATTTGACCTTCTGTATCATGATCAGAACTTGACTGTTGGAGCTCAGTCGTTGCCATTTTGATTCCAAAACAATTTTGATTAGGTCCGTTGTTTTTATACAATAATGCCTGCTAAAATTGCAATTGTTGTTATGGACTAGCATGTCTTTTAGTGCATGTCAAATGTCAAGGACAAACGCCAATTAACTCAACTTTGAAAAATTAGAATCATATTCTGGAGATGTTTTTCAATATTATTATGTTGATTCTAAATATATATTTATGTTCATTTTAAATAGCACTTAATGAGAAGCACATTCTATATTTGAGAATACCACCAGCACTAAGATTCTATTGCATATGTTACCCAATTAAACATTCCTTTTCGGTAAACTGTAGAGAATACAACTGACTTTGAACTTTCCCTTCTTTTCAACTTCAAAAATGTAAAGAAACCACTCAACCGGTAAAAGGTGACAAATATTGTAAACAGTTACCACTTACAAATTTTTTTTCGTTCTTTCTGAAAAACTTACAAAAGTGTCTGAACTGAGGGAAAAAAAAAGTTTAAAGATAGCGTATTTAGGCCTCGTTCGTTTCACTGATTCGAGTTTAGAATTTGAGTTGAGATGTGATTGTATGTGAGAGCTTTTTACTGTAGTAAAAAAATTAGATGTGATTGTTTGTAAGAGCTTTTTAGTGTAGCAAAACTCGAATTCTAAACTCGAATCAGCAAAACGAACGAGGCCTTAATTTCAAGCATTTTTAGTGAAAAAGAAATCTTCATATTGTTATAATCAGAATACTTTCTTCATATTTATTCGGCTTTGCATTGATATTCGATCCCTTTTTCAATAAAATCCCTCCACCACACCTCTCCATTGGCATCCGATCCGTCTTTCATAAAATTTCAATTTCTTATTATAACGAACTTTTGGTGATTTTTTTTTTTAAAAAAAAAAAAAAGAAAAAGGAGAAGAAGAAGTTCCGAACCGAAACGTGAAAACCAAAACCCCTATGAGCTCAATCCTTCAAGAACTTGCACGAATATTATTACTAAGCAAATATCCCTAATGTTGACGATGTAAACACGAGAACGACACCAACATGCTGACGACAGTAATAATAAGAAAGATTAATAACCTCACAGTCTAAAATCAAGAAATGAGAATAACTAGAAAACGACAATATCTAACAAAACGATATTCAGTTATAGCCAACTTTTATTGTATTAATCTCAATAAAAAAAAAAGAAAAATTTTAATGTATTAACGTCAATAAAGACTTAACTGACATTTATTAAAGGGAAATTGTAATATATGAAACTAAATTAAGTAAATACTATATTTTAAAACTATTTGAATTAAATAGTAATTTACTATGTGAATGTTTTATTTTTTACTCATAAAAAATAATTTATATGGTAAAAAAAATTTATTTTTCGTGGAAAAAAATTTGTTACTAGCCGTAAGTGAAACATTTAAATGGTAAATTGTTATTTACTTCAAATAGTTTTAAAATATGTTATTTACTTAATTAGTTTAATAAATCTGCTATTAACTACATTTTCCTTTTATTAAATAAAAATTGAATAAAATGCAAACAAAATAAAAAATAATGAACGACAAATTTTGACATTGGCATCAATAAACGGCAATGACCTCAAAAATAAACTTTAAATGAAAACGACAACGAACCCAGAATACGACGCTGACCAAGGCGATATTGACAATAGCAAACCTTGGAAACGACAGGGAAACTTAAGAAAAGGACATTGAACTGAAGACGACATTAATTGTACTAAGGATAGCAACCTTAACAAACGACCCAAACTCCAGAAACGACAAAAGTCTAGCAAGGTGGTGCTCTAGTATTAAAAAGCAACACCAAACAGCATTGCAACCGTAAGAAATACTATGGCCACTCTTTCTGTCACTCTCTTTCACTTTCTACATTCACAGTTTGACACTTTCTGTCACTCATTTTCTTGCAACCATAGCAGTCAAACAGGAATTCTTGGTGATACAAAGAAACTGACCCCGGAAAGTGAAATTGCACATCGAATGCCAATTGTCAACCAAAACCAACTATCGAATACTATAGTAAATAGTGTCTAAATAGGCCAACACGATCTACCAAGCCATTAAATATGAGTATTTTTGTTTGTCTGTCTTAAAGCATGGAATTTTAACGAGACCAAGAGCACGTGACCCATTTCGATTGCGGTTGATTTTAGAGGTGCAAACAAAGTCCTACATTGTCAATAAATGAGAGCTATAATAGAAATATAAGAGAGTTGGCTACTCCACTCACTGAATTAGTCATTTGAGTTGGAACCACAACCTCTTATGGTAGAGCCTATGATTCCAACAGTAATTGGTCGAACAAATCAAAAGAATCAACACATGCAAGGGACGTAAAACACCAACTAAGAAGTTTCCCAAATTATACCATTGTTGGTATTGCAACAATGAACAACTCTTTCTATTTGTCAGCATTACATATAAGAGCCAGAGTTGCTATGGTCCCTTTCCTTATGAGCATTGTTTTGATCCTTGTACAAGTTGGCACACACTAAAAAATAGCCAAAGTTGAGCACGCCCGCCCCAACTAACAACCAGTAGACTTTGTCGAGCCTCCCCTTATTTATATCATCCGGTAACCATCTGGTAACCCTCCTAATCAGATAGATCATAGCCGAGCTTAAGTAGAAAGCAATGGCAATTATCAATGTGTCCATAGCAGTTGTTGTGTTTCTAAGTGACAAAAGGATATTCTTGGTAGTAGAGACCAACTTGGCAAGGAAATGAAATGCTTCTCCAATGCCAACAAAACCAGCTGTGGAAATAGCCATAAGGCCAAAATTGGCACCGAATTAGGACCATGGTTATGTGCCACTTTGAGACGTTTTGACTCCACAACTGATGAGACTGCCATGGAAAGCACGATAATCGTGTGGCCAGCTCTGATAGGTTGGAGAAGCGTTGGAGCTCGACCAGTCAGCTTCCGCCACATGGGATACATGAGACGATCAACAAGTGGGAAGGATATAGAACTTGATATAAAGACTAGTACTTGGAAAGACTCTGCTGGGATTTTGAAGTGTGAACCAAGGCGGCGATCCATGGTTAGAGCTCGGAGGACTGTTAAGCTTCCTTGGATTGCTATTGGAGTACTCACAAACAAATTGGATGACCACAGCGGCAAATTCTGAGGAGAGATTTTAGATCTTCTACTTGTTGAACTGTGCACAATCGCCACGGTTTTGCAACAGAGCTGTCTTCTTTTAAATCTCCTTTGGTTTTCATTGCTGCTCGATTCAGAATCCTGTACACCAATGTTTTTGTTTTTCGACTAAGCAAAGAATGTATGGAATAAATGAATTTGGTTCAATTATGTACAAGATCATTACTAGCGACGCACCTAAAATTATTTGCAGGTGTTCTAGAAACTATATTTTCCTTTCCGTCATTGCCATAGTAGTAATCTTCACTTCTAGATGAGAGCAGGACCTTCTTTTTCCCAGAACAAGCAACAACTACGCAAGCAAAATCCACGAACGGACTACCTTGAGGCTTATCATAACAATAGAAATGCCTTCCCGACAAGAAAATAACCTAACCAATTAAACTAGAAAGAAGACATATCCCAAAACCAAATTTCTAACTAACATTATCCTCAACATACACAATGGCTGCTGAGCCTATCGCTGCACACGCGTATCGTAAAGAAAAACCAGTTAAAGAAAATCTCACGATCATTAGGTCTATGAAGCTGGTTTGCACTCATTGTTGCAATGACAGAGAGAGTACCTCCTGCTCCAACTGATAACAGAGCCAAGCCAGAGTAGAGCACCACAAACTGAACTCTTGATGGTGATTTACACAAGCCTGGCAACCCTTTTCGCGCTGCGGTGGCCATAAGAAATCGAGCATTGCGGTTAAAGAAAAAAGAGTCAATCCCTGCAAAGTGGAATATCAAATGGGGTGGTAAAATTTCTTGTTTGTCTTTATAGAAATAGATTGAAAGAGTGCTAGGTAGCTAGTTACCAGCAATTTGACACAAGAAGAGCAGAAGATAACAGAGAAGCTGCCAAAGAAAGAGTCCCGGACGATTGCGGCGGCTATTGTGAACACACTATACAACCATTGACAACATTTGAAATCTGTGCAGCATCAACACTCTTCACGTTGAACTCTTCTATAAGTTACACTATCAAGTTTGATAGCCATCCCCAAGCAGGAAGTGTCAAGCCCATCGCAGTCCCTGGCTTGTTACATGATAAAAAGACTTGAATTACCATACAATTTATGTGCGTGTATAAATATACCATGTCATATGAATTTGAATATATATATATATATATATACATACACACACATAGATATATAGTCATGTAAGAAGGGTAGAGACTAAAGACAGACCAGGGATGAAGAGAAAAGTGATCCAACCGCCATGTTTAGTACCACCAGAACTTGAAATTTGAACTTCGTAATCATGATTAGAACTTGATTGTTGGAGCTCAGTCGTAGCCATTTTGATTCCAAACAGTGTTTATTAGTTCCCTAAATATATAATGCCTGCTACGGACTGTGCTGATATCAAATAATTGTAGCAATTAATTCTCATGGCATATCTTTTAGTGTATCACCTTTAGCTAAAAAAGAAAAAATAAAAAAGGAAACAAAAAGAAAAGAATTCTCATCTTTAGAATTAGATTCTTGAGATAGATTTTTTTTTTTTTTGGTAAATTATTGTGCGTACAGATATCAAAGTTAGAAATCATATGCTATTTATCATTAAAATTGTCATTCAGGGAAACAAAAAAAAAACATTGAAAATAATCAATTATGAATTGAAGCAACAAGCAATCATGTTGCTTTCTTTTTTTTTTTCAAAAAAGAAATGGTCCGAGTTAAAGCAGTTTTCTGAGGACCGGAAGCTAATAAATTTTTTAATAGAAAATTTTTATTTAATAATTAAGTCAATACTAAATTTAAAATAGTAGCAAATGACCATCAAATACAAGAGTATTCAACCACGGGTGAAAACTGCTCCACTAGTAAAGACGAATGAGG